ACATTTCCAAAATGAACATTGTAGGATTCTACGTACCGTCATCAAACCTCCAACAAGGTCGTTCGTATGTGGGTCTTCATCTTTTGTCCCAAGTTGAGGAGAATACAACTCGGTGGTCCTCAGGATCTCAAGGACTCTATCCAAAGCTTCAGCGACTGGCATGGGACTACTTTCTTGGGCAGCATTGATAATATTGATTACCTAAGTAGAAAGAAAGAAGAAAATCCATGTATCCTAGTCTGGCTTTCCCTTCCACAAATGCTTCTAGGAACATTGCTATGTTGTCATTTAGCATTTTTGGTGGGTCTTCTAGTTACATTTTCAAACACTGGGATAACTAGGTTCCCGAGTGTCGTCAAGCCATCTTTTCAAGCATCTTTTCTTGTTTAAAAAGTACAAAAATCCACACTTAATTGACATGTAAATATACCCCATCGCAAAAATGCTATGACTTTTTTTGCTGACTATAATATTCCCTCTATTATCACAAGGGGTTTATGGTACCATGAAAGCGGGCAAGAAGAGACTAACCAGTTCCAAGAAGTAATTCAATTACTGAACATTCTGTTTACTATTCCCACAATAAGAACATAGGAAGCTGCTTCTATACAGAGTGAAACCACAGGCCTACCCAACTCAGTGTTATCTACATTGGCTTAGCTGTAGAACAATGTCATTGATGGATTAGCATAACGTAAACAAGCCTCTCTTCAATTGCTCTGGCATGGACAGAAGTATACTCAGAGGTTAAGATCTTCTGGGGAGGCCCTACTCTCGATCCCACCTCCTTCGCAGGTGTGACTGGTGGGGAGGAGAGACAGGGCCTTCTCAGGGGTGCCCCCTCATCTATGGAACTCTGTCCCCAGTGAAATTAGATTAGCTCCCTCTCTCCTGACATTCAGAAAGAAAGTGAAGACATGGATGTGGGACCAAGCCTTTGGACAGTAATCTTCAATGCAATAAGTGACTATGGGAAAGTGTAATTTATGACTGGAATGGCCCTGGAATATGACTTTGGGTTGTGTGGTTTTAATTAATTGTTTTAAGATTGTACTGTTTTAATTATTTTGGTTTTAATGTATATGTTTTGTTTTAATTTATGTATGGCTGTGACGCAGCTAGTTAGTAGCCAGCTGCATTAAATCACTACTGACTAAGAGGACATGAGTTTGAAGCCCAGGTCAGAGTGAGCTCCCAACCATTAATAGTCTAGCTTGCTGTTGACCTATGCAGCCTGAAAAACAGTTGCATCTTTCAAGTAGAAAATTTAATAAAGAAGAAGGAGAAGAAGGAGAGGAGGAGGAGGAGGAGGAGGAGGAGGAAGAAGAAGAAGACAAGAAGAAGACAACTTTATTTATACACCGCCACCATCTCCCCAAGGGGACTCGGGGCGGCTTACATGAGGCCAAGCTCAACAGTACATCAGAACAAATATACAACATAAAATACAGATAGTAGAATATAATAAAAATAAAATAAAATACAATATAGATGAACACACCAAACAATATAAAATAACAGTAATTGGGTAGGGCGAGTTGCGAGAATTAAAAGTTTAAAAACACTGGATAAACAGGCCAAATAGTGTATCTAAACAAGGATCAAAAGTGAGGTTTAATTGCACTAAAAGGTAGAATAAAGTGCTTCAGAGGTCATTTTATGCAGGGTTTGGTCAGGATCAGGGGTAATTATTCATTCATTGAAAGGACACTGGAATAGACAAGTTTTCAGACTCTTCCTAAAGCCTGCCAGAGTGGGGACTTGCCTGATTTCTCTGTGGAGCGAGTTCCAGAGCCGGGGGGCCACCACGGAGAAGGCCCTCTCCCTCATCCCCACAAATCGCACTTGCGATGGGGGCGGAAGCGAGAGAAGGGCCTCTCTGGAAGATCGAAGAGACCATGTAGGTTCGTAAAAGGAGATGTGGTCATGAAGGTAGGCGGGTCCCAAACTGTTCAGGGCCTTGTAGGTAAGAATCTGCACCTTGAATTGGGACTGGAAAATAAACAGCAGCGAATGGAGCTCCTTAAACAGGGGGGTTGACCACTCCCTGTTATTGCCACCAGTTAGTAATCTGGCTGCTGCTCGTTGGACCAATTAAGTTTCCTGGCCATCTTCAAGGGCAGCCCCACGTAGAGTGCACTGCAATAGTCCAATCTAGAGGCAACTAAGGCGTGGACCACCGTGGCCAAATCTGAGTTCAGGTACCGTTTTATGTGGGGAGGCTAATTTAACTAAGTTATGACACCATAAAACCTTCCAGGAGCGTGCACAAGAATGAGGAAGTTCTCCATCAAGGACTCGATGTCACAAGTGGACAGTGAAGCGGAAGCTCCCCCTGTGGCCAGAATCGAGCATACCCTCATGAAGCTGGAATGTTAAATTGCCTCTGTGTCTGTCTATATATGTTTATATCCAAATGCCATTGAATGTCTGCCATGTATATGTGCATTGTAATCCACCCTGACTCCCCAGCAGGGTGAGAAGGGCGGAATATAAATACTGTAAATAAATAAATATATGTGGCAGTGAATTGTGTCTTTTTTGGGGTGAGTAGGGTGGGATATTAATGCAGTAAATAAATAAATATATCAAGGATGTTCATATTCATTTATCAGCTAGCCATGATTTGATGTTATATCCACACCAAGCCAACCTAACCTAGCTTTAGAAGAACTATCCAAGGTGCTGAATCTCTTTTGGAAATGGAGTTCATGGCACTCATACAAACTGCAGGACAGCTCAGCTTCTCGTTGTACAATCTATAACAGTGTTTCTCACCTTCCTAATGCCGCGACCCCTTAATACAGTTCCTCATGTTGTGGTGACCCCCAGCCATAAAATTATTTTTGTTGCTACTTCACAACTATAATTTGCTACTGTTATGAATCATTATATAAATATCTGATATACAGGATGTATTTGATAGAAATACGCAATATGCCCAAATTTGAAAAACAGTGGGGTTGAGGGGGGATAATTGATTTTGTCATTTGGGTATTGTAGTTGCTGGGATTTGTAGTTTTGTAATTTTGTAATTTTGCTACTGTTATGAATTGTTATGTAAACATCTGATATGCAGGATGTATTCTTATTGGAGTGTTATGGGAGGATTGATTTTGTCATTTGGGAGTTGTAGTTGCTGGGATTTATAGTTCACCTACATTCAAAGAGCATTCTGAACTCCACCAATGATGCAACTGAACCAAACTTGGCACACAGGATTCCCATGACCAAGAGAAAGTACTGGAAGGGTTTGGTGGCATTGACCTTGAGTTTGGAGTTGTAGTTCACCTACATCCAGAGAGCACTGTGGACTCAAGCAATGATGGATATGGACCAAACTTGGCACAGACACTCAATGTGCCCAATGTGGAGTTGGGGGGGGGGGGGGGGGAATAGACCTGGACATTCAGGAGTTCTAGTTGCTGGGAGTTGTAGTTCACCAACATCCAGAGAGCATTGTAGATCCAAACAATGTTGAATCTGGACCAAATACTCAATATGCCCAATTCTGAACACTGGTGGAGTTGGGGAAAATACATCTTGACATTCCGGAGTTGTAGTTGCTGGGACTTGTAGTTGACCTACAATCAAAGAGCATTCTGAACCCCACCAATGATAGAACTGGGCCAAACTTCCCACACAGAACCCCCATAACCAACAGAAAATACTGTGTTTTCCGATAGTCTTTGGCGACCCCTCTGACACCCTCTCATGACAGGGGTCCCGACCCCCAGGTTGAGAAAGGCTGGTCTATAAGATATGCATTAGTCTATAAAATATGCATTATAAAGTAATGATATCAATTGGTGAAAAATAAACCAACATATATAAGAAGTAGATTGTCCTCTCGTATAGCTCCATGAATGGAAATAGTGTAGAAATATGACGACAAGAGAAAAATTCCATTTCCAATGTTATTATTATCAGGTAGGTTACAGGTTACAGCAGGCATGGGCAAAGTTTGGTCCTCCAGGTGTTTTGGACTTCAATTCCCACAATTCCTAACCACATTAGGAATTGTGGGACTTGAAGTCCTAAACATCTGGAGGACCAAACTTTGCCCATGCCTGGTTTATAGCCAAAAGAAAAATCCATAATCATCTATCAAATAGTGCCACAAAATATGTTAAAAAAATTAAAAATTAGAGGTATTGCTATCAAAATATCAAGATACAATACTACATTTTTGCTCTCTATATTTCTTATGAAAAACAATTAATCTTATGAAAAACAATTAGTTGTTTGATCCAAAGCAAAGTATATTTAAGGCAGCCCACCTTCGTAATAGGTGCTTCAATTGTCATGGAATGTATTCTGGCCATCGATGAATGCCTTCTTTGTGAACTGCCTATCAGGAAAAAATGAAATGAAGTCAATCATCAGTGAGTTGTTGTAGGTTTTTCCGGGCTATATGGCCATGTTCTAAAGGCATTTTCTCCTGATGTTTCGCCTGCATCTATGGCAAGCATCCTCAGAGGTAGTGAGGTCTGTTGGAACTAGGAAAAAGGGTTTATATATCTGTGGAATGACCAGGGTGGGGCAAAGGACTCTTGTCTGCTGGAGCTAGGTGTGAATGTTTCAACTGACCACCTTGATTAGCATTTGATTGCCTGGCAGTGCCTGGAGCAATCTTTTGTTGAGAGGTGATTAGATGTCCTTGTTTGTTTCCTCTCTGTTGTTGTGCTGTTGTAATTTTAGAGTTTTTTTTAATACTGGTAGCCAGATTTTGTTCATTTCCATGGTTTCCTCCTTTCTGTTGAAATTGTCCACATGCTTGTGGATTTCAATGGCTTCTCTGTGTAGTCTGACATGGTGGTTGTTGGAGTGGTCCAGCATTTCTCTGTTCTCAAATAATAATCAATCATCAGACAGTGATAGCTTATGATAATCTATGTACATTCGCCTCATCCTTTGCCATCATCGTCATCATCATCATCATCGTCGTCGTCGTCATCATAACCACAGTGGTACAATGGGTTAAACCTTTGTGCTGGCAGGACTGCTGACCAAAAGGTTATTGGTTCCTATCTGGGGAGTGAGGTGAGCTTCTGTCTGTCAGCTCCAGCTTCTCATGTGGGGACATGAGAGAAGCCTCCCACAGGATGGTAAAACTTCCTTCCTGGGGGAATCCTTTGTTGGGAGGTGTTAGCTGGCCCTGATTGTTTCCTGACACCTCCCAACAAAGGATTTCCTCTGGCAGGAAGCAGCCAGGTTTGAAGCTGCAAGGCTATTCAGTGCTAATCAAGGTGGCCAGTTGCAACATTCATACCTGCCTCCAACATACAAAAGTTTTCTCTCCCACCCTGGACCTTATTCCACAGATATGTAAACCCCACTTTCTTAGTTTCCAATAGTCCTCACAACCTCTGAGGAAGCCTGCCATAGATGTGGGCGAAACATCAGGAGAGAATGCTTCTGGAACATGACCATACAACCCGGAAAACTCACAACAACCCATAAATAAGTAATCTGACACAGATAAGGACTTTAAGGAAGTCCTTACAGATGGTCAATTCTCTCACAACAAAAGTGACTTGCAGTTTCTCAAGTCGCTCCTGACATGAAAAAATAATCATTGACTTGGTTTTGTTCCAGTCTGCAAGAAACTGCAAATACATACCATCGCTGCCCCGAGAAGTGGTCGAGCGGACATCTAAAGACCCTTTCCTCCTGTCTTTATGCTTGCAACTCTGGTTATCTATGGAAACAAGGAGACATCCTATTATTATTATTATTATTATTATTATTATTATTATTATTATTAGATACACAACAAGATGATGATGATGATTATGATGATGATGATGATGATGATTATTATTATTATTATTATTGGATACACAACACAGCAAACAAGAATACTATGTTGGCTTCTATTGTAAGGCCACCTTGAGTCCACTCCAAGGTGAGAAAAGCAGGAAATATGGTAAATAAAATAAATAATAAATATTTTGTATTCAATCACACATGTTCCAATGAATCATCTGAGCAATGGTGTTGTGCCTCTGCTTGTAGTCTGTCTGCGTGATTTTCTTGCGTAGACGCCTCCAAGGTCATGTAGCTGGCCTGATTGCATGGAGTGCTGTTACCTTCCTGCAGAAGCAGTACCTATCAATCTACTCACATTTGCATGTTTTCAAACTGCTAGGTTGGCAGAAGCTGGGGTTAACAGCTGGAGCTCACCCTACTACAAAGATTTGAACTTCCAGCCTTTTGGTCAGCAAGTTTAGCAGCTCAGTGGTTTAACCACCGAGGGCTCAAGGGCCTAGATATAATGTAAATATATTATTATTATTATTATTATTATTATTATTATTATTATTTGAAACACAGCAAGATGAGTCCACAGCAGACACTCTGCTGGCTGTTGTATTGGATCACACGTCGGACACTTCCCAAGTGTCTAGGACTGTGTGATGTATCGGCAAATAATGTGTGCAGATCCCAGTAAGGTGGCCTTCTGCAGCTGGCAGATGGTAATTTTGTCAGCGCCGATTGTGTTTAAGTACAGGCCAAGGTCTTTAGGCACTGCACCCAGTGTGCCAATCACCACTGGGACCACCTTTACTGGTTTGTGCCAGAGTCTTTGCAGTTCGATCTTTAAATCCTCACATTGTATCTGCTTTTCCAGTTGTTTCTCTTCAATCCTGCTGTCGCCTGGGATTGCAACATCAACAATCCATACTGCTGGCTGTTGTATTGGATCACGCATCGGACACTTCCCAAGTGTCTAGGACTGTGTGATGTATTGGCGAATAATGCGTGCAGATCTAAGTAGGAGCTGACAGATGGTAATTTTGTCAGCACCGATTGTTTTTAAGTACAGGCCAAGGTCTTTAGGCACTGCACCCAGTGTGCCGATCACCCTTGGCAGGAGGAACTTCCTGACTGTGAGAGCTGTTCAGCAGTGGAACTCTCTGCCCCAGAGTGTGGTGGAGACTCCTTCTTTGGAGGCTTTTAAACAGAGGCTGGATGGCCATCTGTCGGGGGTGCTTTGAATGTGATTTTCCTGCTTTTTGGCAGGGGATTGGACTGGATGGCCCACGAGGTCTCTTCCAACTCTACAATTGGCAGGAAAAACGAAATACAAAGATACAAAATGGGGGACAATGCCTGGCTCGAGAGCAGTACGTGTGAAAAAGATCTTGGAGTCCTCGTGGACAACAAGTTAAACATGAGCCAGGAATGTGATGTGGCGGCAAAAAAAGCCAATGGGATTTTGGCCTGCATCAAGAGGCGCATAGTGTCTAGATCTAAGGAAGTAATGCTCCCCATGCTCTATTCTGCTTTGGTTAGACCACACCTGGAATATTGTGTCCAATTCTGGGCACCACAATTCAAGAGAGATATTGACAAGCTGGAATGTGTCCAGAGGAGGGCGACTAAAATGATCAAGGGTCTGGAGAACAAGCCCTATGAGGAGCGGCTTAAGGAGCTGGGCATGTTTAGCCTGAAGAAGAGAAGGCTGAGAGGAGATATGATAGCCATGTATAAATATGTGAGAGGAAGCCACAGGGAGGAGGGAGCAAGCTTGTTTTCTGCTTCCTTGGAGACTGGGACGCAATGGAACAATGGCTTCAAACTACAAGAGAGGAGATTCCATCTGAACATGAGGAAGAACTTCCTGACTGTGAGAGCCGTTCAGCAGTGGAACTCTCTGCCCCGGAGTGTGGTGGAGGTTCCTTCTTGTGGAGGCTTTTAAACAGAGGTTGGATGGCCATCTGTCGGGGGTGCTTTGAATGCAACATTCCTGCTTCTTGGAAGGAGGTTGGACTGGATGGCCCATGAGGTCTCTTCCAACTCTACGATTCTATTATGTACAACAACCAGGTGAATTTTTAAGGAATTTTGATCGATTTTCTTTATACAAATTTGCAGAAACCAACCTGTCTGGGACTCTGCTTGAGCTGTGTCAGCCTGCAAATCAAGAAGGGGGAAAAGACAAAATCAGTCAAGACATGAAGCGTGAAAGCACCTTCCCCTGCTATCAATTAAGTTATATCACCTTTTCTGCTTACCTTGTTGACGTCATTGCATGGTCTACTAAGAGACACATAGTGTCTAATTTTTCTGTAGGGAAAAAAGTGGATAATAACATATTTTGTCACTTCAGATTGCATCTCAAATTCTCTTAAGATGTGAATCTTTAAAAATAAAAATCAAGAGTTTAAAAACTATAGGATTTGTGGGTTGTTGTAGGTCTTTCGGGCTGTATGGCCATGTTCTAGAAGCATTCTCTCCTGACGTTTCACCTGGATCTGTGGCAAGCATCTGGCCTCACAACCTCTGAGGATGCTTGCCACAGATGCAGGCGAAACGTCAGGAGAGAATGCTTCTAGAACATGGTCATACAGCGCGAAAGACCTACAACAACCCAGTGATTCCAGCCATGAAAGCCTTCGACAATACATTAAATAAGATCTGTGTGCTAAATCATTAAAGAAAATTAATTTCTTAACATTAAAACATTAATAGGAAATGCAGCATTTATTGGTAATATCAATCATTATCAAAAGAGAATTAAAATTAGATTGAAACCCCAATTAAAATGAAAACAGCCAATAATATCTCCATCCCATTTTCAAACTACTCTGCAGAGTAATATAACGCATTAATGAAAAAAAGGATCAACATCATCAGCAATTAGCCGTCAAAATAGTAAAGTTAAAGGTTTTCCCTTGACATCAAGTGTGGTGCTCATCTCCATTTCTAAGCCAAAGAACTGGCATTGTCCATAGACACCTCCAAGGTCATGTGGCCAGCATGACTGCATGGAGCACTGTTACCTTCCAGCCGGAGCAGTACCTATTGATCTACTCACATTTGCATGTTTGCAAACTGCTAGGTCAGCAGAAGCTGGGGCTAACAGCGGGAGCTCACCCCACTTCCTGGATTTGAATCGCTAACCTTCCAGTCAACAAGTTCTGCAGCTCAGTGAACCACTGTGCCACTGCAGCCCCATCAGAATAGCATATTTTAAATCGAATTAGGGACAACAAATTAATCTTTAACATGTTATTTCCAACATTTGTATTACACTGACTCTCTCCAAAAGCAAACAATAGATTCAGTTTTCTGTATAGTCTTTAATAGGCCCTATATCAATTTTCAGGCTTACCCTCCCTGTCCAAAGACAGGTATGATCTTCACATTTTGTTGTATGCTCTCTCCATTTTTCTTTTTGGTGTAATAAGTTCCTTGCCATTCCTGTGGATGGGATTCAAGGGTAAATAAGAATGATGCTCAGGCTATTACAGCATGCAGACTACTCTCAAAGTATCTACAAGTCTATCTTCATACATTCCTACAGTTTAATATATTCTCCGCATATTTCCTTTTTGAAGAAGATTGTATAATGAGAGATTCCTTCCTTTTATAAGGGATTCCTCCCTTCAAACCACATGAAGGTATGAGTGCATATAAACATGCAAAATGTGCCACTGTGCAAAGAAGCCTGGACAACGATCATCAGACTATACTCGCATCTTGGTTAGACCACACCTGGAATATTGTGTCCAATTCCAAGAGAGATATTGACAAGCTGGAATGTGTCCAGAGGAGGGCAACTAAAATGATCAAGTGTCTGGAGAACAAGCCCTATGAGGAGCGGCTTAAGGAGCTGGGCATGTTTAGCCTTCAGAAGAGAAGGCGGAGAGGAGACATGTTGACAAGCTAGAATGTGTCCAAAGGAGGGCAACTAAAATGATCAAGGGTCTGGAGAACAAGCCCTATGAGTTTCCAAAGAAGGAGCCTCCATCACACTCCGGGGCAGAGAGTTCCACTGCTGAATGGCTCTCACAGTCAGGAAGTTCTTCCTCATGTTCAGATGGAATCTCCTCTCTTGTAGTTTGAAGCCATTGTTCCGCGTCCTAGTCTCCAGGGAAGCAGAAAACAAGCTTGCTCCCTCCTCCCTGTGGCTTCCTTTCACATATTTATACATGACTATCATATCTCCACTCAGCCTTGTCTCTTTTTAATGTATTATTTCAAAATGTGAGTGATCAAGAGAGCTGGGTTGTTGTAGTTTTTTCAGGCTATAGGGCCATGGTCTAGATGCATTCTCTCCTGACGTTTCGCCTGCATCTATGGCAAGCATCCTCAGAGGTAGCAAGGTCTGTTGGAACTAGGAAATTGGATTTATATATCTGTGGAATTACCAGGGTGGGACAAAGGACTCTTGTCTGCTGGAGCTAGGTGTGAATGTTTCAACTGACCACCTTGATTAGCATATAATGGCCTGACAGTGCCTGGAGCAAACTTTTGTTGAGAGGTGATTAGATGTCCTTGTTGTTTCCTCTCTGTTGTTGTGCTGTTGTAATTTTAGGGTTTTTTAATACTGGTAGCCAGATTTTGTTCATTTTCATGGTTTCCTCCTTTCTGTTGAAATGCTTGCCATAGATGCAGGCGAAACGTCAGGAGAGAATGCCTCTAGACCATGGCCATATAGCCCGAAAAAAACTACAACAACCCAGTGATTCCGGCCATGAAAGCCTTCGACAATACAGATCAAGAGAGCCGTTTGTGGAATTCGGTGCCTCATGTGCCAAGATAATTTGGGTTGCTTTGAATACCATGCGCCTTGTTTGGGGTAAACGCAAGGAACTCTTCTGACTCTGGGAGAGAAATGTCTGGGACTGGCCCTGCTTTTGTGTATGATAATTAGATATGAGCGTTACAAGCATTCTTGATAAAGACAAAGGTTTTCCCTTGACATTAGTTCTAGCCATGTCCGACTCTGGGGGTTGGTGCTCATCTCCATTTCTAAGCCAAAGAGCCGGCGTTGTCCATAGATGCCTCCTAAGTCATGTGACCAGCATGACTGCATGGAGCACCGTTTCCTGCCCATTGAAGCAGTACCTATTGATCTACTCACATGTTCATGTTTTTGAACTGCTAGGTTGGCAGAAGATGGGACTAACAGCGAAAGCTCACCCCACTCCTCAGATTCAAACTACCAACCTTTCGGTCAGCAAGTTCAGCATCTCAGCAGTTTAACCTGCTGCACCGCCAGGAAGGGATAGTATCATCAAAATCCAGGGACACCCTGTGAAATTGGGTTTTGGAGTAGAAAACAGAGTCCATAACACTTTTACTTTTGGAATTCAGATTAGGCTCTTGGGCAAATATTTATCTTTTAGCTTCAACAGTTTGAGTTGTGGGAGATCTGAGTTTTCTGACAGGCCACAGAATCCCAAAATCTGAGATTTCCTGCTGAAGCAGTACCTATTGATCTACTCACATTTGCATGTTTTCGAACCACTAGGTTGGCAGAAGCTGGAGCTAACAGCAGGAGCTCACCCCACTCCCTGGATTCAAAGCACCAACCTTTCAGTCAGCAAGTTCAACAGCTCAGCGGTTTAACCCGCTGCACTAGCAGAGGCTCTGCTCTTGATAAGGCATGCTAACTATCAATTTTTTGCTTTATCTTTTTCTATCCACGTCCTGTTGTTCACAGTAGCTGCACTAATGCCTGAAATGTCGGTGGTTTGAATCCGAGGAGCGGGGTGAGCTCCCGCTGTTAGCCCCAGCTTCTGCCAACCTAGCAGTTAGAAAATGTTTAGGCAAGCTATAATGCAGTAGAGCAGACTCGTTAAAAATCTGCATAAGACGTGACAACAGCTTGACCGATAACAAAAAAATAAACAACCAGTTTTATATATATGTATATTTAAAAACACAGCATTAGAGTTTATTAATGCCCAGATTGTAACAGCACACAAAGAGGGCTTTCATCTCCACTCTCACTGATCTGCTGCCGTTTCTTGTTATTCCTGCGCTATCGTGATCTTTCCTTTGATCATGAGCCCAAGAGCGGGATCTATATTAGTTGCTTTGTTTCATGTGGACTAGAGCTATATTTAGACAGACACTTGAGAAGTATTAATCCACCATGGACTCCTTCAGGAGATATTTTATTAGATTTTGAAGAAGGATAGAGGATTGAAAATGTGGAATGTTTAAGCCCAAAGATTAATTAGTTTTCTTTTTAAGTAAAGTAGACTCTAGAGCAGGCATGGGCAAACTTTGGCCCTCCACGTGTTTTGGACTTCAGCTGGTAGGTTTGGTTCAATTCTATCGTTGGTAGGGTTCAGAGTGCTCTTTGATTGTAGGTGAACTATAAATCCCAGTAACTACAACTCCCAAATGTCAAGGTCTATTTCCCCCAAACTCCATCTGTGTTCATATTTGCCCATGTTGAGTATTCGTACCAATCCATCATTGTTTGAGTCCACAGTGCTCTTTGTATGTAGGTGAACTACAACTCCCAAAATCTAAGGTTTAAAAAATGCATAAGGATGTAGGTGAACTACAGCTCCCAAAACGGTGGGTCAATCCTCCCCAAATCCCACCAGTATTCACAGTTGGCCATATTGGATTTGTGTGCCAAGTTTGGTCTAGATCCATCATTGTTTGAGTCCACAGTGCTTTTTGCATGTAGGTGAACCACAACTCCCAAAATCTAAGGTTTAAAAAATGCATAAGGATGTGGATGAACTACAGCTCCCAAAATTGTGGGTCAATCCTCCCCAAATCCCACCAGTATTCACAGTTGGCCATATTGGATTTGTGTGCCAAGTTTGGTCCAGATCCATCATTGTTTGAGTCCACTGTGCTTTTTGCATGTAGGTGAACCACAACTCCCAAAATCTAAGGTTTAAAAAATGCATAAGGATGTAGGTAAACTACAGCTCCCAAAATCATGGGTAAATCCTCCCCAAATCCCACCAGTATTCACAGTTGGCCATATTGGATTTGTGTGCCAAGTTTGGTCTAGATCCATCATTGTTTGAGTCCACAGTGCTTTTTGCATGTAGGTGAACCACAACTCCCAAAATCTAAGGTTTAAAAAATGCATAAGGATGTAGGTGAACTACAGCTCCCAAAATCGTGTGTCAATCCTCCCCAAATCCCACCAGTATTCACAGTTGGCCATATTGGATTTGTGTGCCAAGTTTGGATGTTCGAGCAAGTTTTTAACTAATTTCCGATGTATGGTTATTTTGATCATGGACTTGCAACCAAGGATAATGAACTGAATTACGATTTTAACTATGAGATGTTTTCGATTTGTATTGGTGGCCCGATACTAAGTATGTTCATACTATGTATGTTTTATGTCTTGTATTTTGATATTTTATTTTATATTTTTAAGGTGACTATTGTATTTTAACAAGTTGTAAACCGCAATGAGTCGCCGCACAGGCTGAGATATTGGCGGTATATAAGTGTATCAAATAAATAAATAATAAATAAAATAAATAGATCCATCATTGTTTGAGTCCACGGTGCTCTTTGTATGTAGGTGAACCACAACTCCCAAAACTCAAGGGCAAAGCCCACCAAACCCTTCCACTGTTTTCTCTTGGTCATGGGAGTCCTGTGTGCCAAGTTTGGTTCAATCCCATCGCTGGAGGAGTTCAGAATGACCTTCGATTGTAGGTGAACTATAAATCCCAGCAACTACAACTCCCAAATGACAAATTCAATTTTTCCATTGATGGTCACTCCTTGGGTTCGTAGACTACAAGGAGATTTCATCTGAACTTCCTGACTGTGAGACCTGTTTATCAGTGGAACTCTCTGTCCCAGAGTGTGGTAGAGGCTACTTCTTTGGAAGCTCTTAAACAGAGGCTGGATGGTCATCTGTCGGGAGTGCTTTGAATGCAATTTTCCAGCTTCTTGGAAGGGGGTTGGACTGGATGGCCCATGAGGTCTCTTCCAACTCTATGATTCTATGACTCTATGATTCTATGATCCTAGGTGTCTTTGGTGGCAATTCGTCCAGTGGATTTAGAGTTATGTCACTCAAAACAAACAGAACATTTTTATATAAACAGAAGATAAGACAAATGCCACAGATAATATAATAAAAACTGTTTTTTTATTATTGCCTCTGTGATATTTGTCTTATCAAATATCCTCTCTCAATAGCACAAAACAACCATGCTCCCCCGACACATTCGAACGCACTCCTGGGAACAGTGTGGCACTTCTGTTCATGGCCAGATAGATGCAAATGGCAACCCAAGTGTTTCCTTTCCCGATCATGGCTTTGATACATACACTCCATGAGTCATTCCTTCTTTGCATTAACGGCTAGAACTAGTGCGTAGTCCTTGTGATTAATTGTAGCATCTTCCTCAAATGGAGCGTCAACATCTTTGTGCTTCTTTAACGTGGCATCCATCACCGCGACTGACTCATACAGGGCCAAACGTACGCTGTGACGTGTGCGTATCTTTGAAGTGGCATCCCTCCGTCTCGCTGTTTGTGCCAGCATGACAATGACTGCTTTCTTCCTCTTAAGATGACAGCAATGATATTTTGCTGACCGAGGCACAGTACAACTACGCACCCTGAATATACCGGAATCCAAGGACTTGCTTGAGGATTCTGGGCTGCACGATTTGCTCACAAAGCGAAGCAGCCATGTTGAACACAGTTGGGGAGCTCGGCACTGTTTTGAGCATGTCTTTTGTAGCCCTGGGGCTTGCTTGATCTTGCCCCCCATGAATGACTGTAACATTGCATCTGTTTAGACACTCTACAAATTGCACTAGCCTTGGCCCGGCATGTATATATATATATATAGAGAGAGAAAGCAGGGATATATATATATATATATATATATATATATATATATATATATATATATATATCTGCATGCTAGGTTCTTGTAGGTTTTTTCGGGCTATAGGGCCATGTTCTAGAGGCATTTCTCCTGACGTTTCGCCTGCATCTATGGTAAGCATCCTCAGAGGTAGTGAGGTCTGTTGGAAGTAGGAAAAAGGGTTTATATATCTGTGGAATGACTGGGGTGGGGCAAAGAGCAAAAAGAATCTGAGAACCCCACCTCCTCCAAGATGAACTGAACCACCTCAACTGGGCTCTCCAGGCCAATGGAGACTCCACCTCAGACATCAGAAGAGCTGCAAGACCAAGAACAAGCCACGAGAGTAAAGATGAAGATCCACCCAGAGGAAAAGTGTTCCTGCCATACATCAAGGGAACCACTGATCGCATAGGGAAGCTGATGAGGAAACACAACATACAAACAATCTACAAACCCACCAAGAAAATCCAACAAATGCTACGTTCAGCAAAGGACAAGAGGGATCCTCTCACCTCTGGAGGAGTCTACCGTATACCATGCAGCTGTGGACAAGTCTACATAGGGACCACCAAACAGCTGCCCAGACACGAATCAAGGAACATGAAAGGCACTGCAGACTTCAATCAGAGAAGTCAGCCATAGCAGAGCACCAGATGAACCAGCCTGGACACAGCATATTATTTGAGAACACAGAAATGCTGGACCACTCCAACAACCACCATGTCAGACTACACAGAGAAGCCATTGAAATCCACAAAATGTGGACAATTTCAACAGAAAGGAGGAGACCATGAAAATGAACAAAATCTGGCTACCAGTATTAAAAAACTCTAAAATTACAACAGCAAAAACAGCAGAGAGGAAACAACCAGGCACATCTTAACACCTCTCAACAGAACATTTTCCCAGGCTCAGCCAGGCCTTCAAATGCTAATGAAGGTGGTCAGCTGAAACATTCACACCTAGCTTCAGCAGAGAGCTCTTTGCCCCACCCCAGCCATTCCACAGATATATAAACCCATTTTCCTATTCCAACAGACCTCACTACCTCTGAGGATGCTTGCCACAGATGCAGGCGAAACGTCAGGAGAAATGCCTCTAGAACATGGCCCTATAGCCCGAAAAAACCCACAAGAACCTAGTGATTCCAGCCATGAAAGCCTTCGACAATATAATTTGTTTACTTAAGTCATTAACTTGTATAATTTGTGTTTTTTGGGGATTCATTATTATACATTTTATGTTGTGATTATTTTTTTCTATTGTTTGGGGCAACCAGACCATTGTATTACATTTCTAACAGAACAACAACAACAAACAGACAAAACAAAAAATTGCAAGCTTGGTAGTTGATTAAATGTCCTTTGACCAGTATCTGGCCCCATTGGAGTGCCTCTGGTGTTGCTGCAAGAAGGTCCTCCATTGTGCATGTGGCAGGGCTCAGGTTGCATTGCAGCAGGTGGTCAGTGGTTTGCTCCTCTCCACACTCGCATGTCGAGGATTCCACTTTGTAGCCCATTTCTGAAGGTTGGCTCTGCATCTTGTGGTGCCAGAGCGCAGTCTGTTCAGTGCTTTCCAAGTCGCCCAGTCCTCTGTGTGCCCAGGGGGGAGTCTCTCATTTGGTATCAGCCATTGGTTGAGGTTCTGGGTTTGAGCCTGCCACTTTTGGACTCTCGCTTGCTGAGGTGTCTCTGTAGATCTTAGAAAACTTAACGTCAATGCCCACAAACCCTTCCAGTATTTTCTGTTGGTCATGGGAGTTCTGTGTGCCAAGTTTGGTTCAATTCCATCATGGGAGTTCAGAATGCTCTTTGATTGTAGTGAACTGTCAATCCCAGCAACTACAACTCCAAAATGACAAAATCAACCCCCCACCAACCAAGTATTCAAATTTGGGTTATCGGGTATTTGTGCCAAATTTGGTCCAGTGAATGAAAATACATGTCAGATATTTACATTATTCATAACAGTAGCAAAATTACAGTTATGAAGTAGCAATGAAAATAATTATGGTTGGGGGTCACCACAACATGCGGAACTGTGTTAAGGGGTGGCATTAGGAAGGTTGAGAACCACTGGATAGGAGATTAAACCTTGGAATTTAAGATCTTCTGGAGAGGCCCTGCTCTTGGCCCCGCCTCTATCACAAGTGAGGCTGGTGGGGACAAGGGACAGGGCCTTCTCAGTGGTGGACCCACGCCTGTGGGACTCACTTCCTGGGGAAATTAGGTCATCAACATCCCTCCTCTCCTTCAGAAGGAAGCTGAAAACATGGATTTGGGACCAGGCCTTTGGGTAATCTGGCAGATAAATAAAGGACGACAACGACTGATAGGAATGGACAATGTGGAATGAAGCTATGGACTCTGAGTTGGCGAACGTTGAGAATGAGTTTGGTTTTATTGACTGTGATATATATTTATTGTTTTTAACTGTTATAACTGTTAATTGCTGTCTATATAGGTTTATTGTATTATTGTGCAGGCATCGAATTGTGCCTTTTGTAAGCCGCCCTGAGTCCCCCCTCGGGGGTTGAGAAGGGCGGGGTAGAAGTACACGAAATAAATAAATAAATAAATAAATAAATAAATATAGGCCAAGACCAGCATATTCAAGCTTCGAACAATCAATTAATTCACCATCAACGTTAAAGGAGATACGAAACTGCAAAGGCACGTGCTTACCTTTTCAATCTTGATGCAAGAATTAATAGTGTCAAGGAAATCAGCTTTTTTTTCATTTGTAGGCACTTCTGTTAGTTCCTTTCCTATTAATTCTCCTTTTTGATAGCCCATCATTGCTTCAAACGCAGGGTTTACATACTGTGCAGGTTGAAAAGAAACAAAAAAGCCAGCGCCTCTGTAACTCTTGAGCGAAATATTAAAAAGCCATCACATCCTGTAAGTAAGCAGGTTTCTTTCTGAGCACAAATGCTATGCTAATAACTGTTCACTATTTAAACCAGAGAGTGCTTATGATGGGTTCCTTTTATTACAGGTTAACAATGGAAGAAAAAAAAAGGGAAATGTGAAAGACTGCTCCAACTTCCGTACAGTGGCCCTTATTTCTCATGCCAGTAAGGGAATGCTCAAGATCCTGCAAGGAAGAAGACTCCAGCAAGACATGGAGCGAGAGTTGCCAGATGGACAAGTTGGGTTTAGAAAAGGCAGAGGAACCAGAGACCAGATTGCCAATATCCGGATGATGGATAATGGAGAAAGGCAGGGAGTTCCAGAAAAACATCTATTTCTGCTTCATTGACTATTCTAAAGCCTTTGACTGTGTGGATCCTAATAAATTGTGGCATGTTCTTGGTGGTCTGGGCATCCCAAGCCCCCTTCCCTCTCTCCTGAGGAATCTGTACAAGGACCTAGGAGCAACAGTCAGAACTGACCACGGAACAGAGACGGGTTCCAGATTGGGAAAGGCGTACGGCAAGGCTGCATACTCTCACCCAACCTTTTTAACTTGTATGCAGAACACATCATGCGATGTGCGGGGCTTGATGAATGCAAAGCTGGGGTGAAAATTGCTGGAAGAAACATTAACAACCTCAGATATGCAGATGACACCACTTTGATGGACGAAAGCGAGGAGGAGCTGAGGAGCCTTCTAATCAAGGTGAAAGAAGAAAGCGCAAAAGCTGGGTTGCAGCTAAACATCAAAAAAACCAAGATTATGGCAACAAGAATGATTGACAACTGGAAAATAGAGGGAGAAAACGTGGAGGCCGTGACAGGGTTTGTATTTCTAGGCGCAAAGATGACTGCAGATGCAGACTGTGGCCAGGAAATCAGGAGACGCTTACTTCTTGGGAGGAGAGCAATGTCCAGTCTCGATAAAATAGTGAAGAGTAGAGACATCAGACTGGCAACAAAGATCCATTGCCTAGTCAAAGCCATGGTATTCCCTGTAGTCACCTACGGATGTGAGAGCTGGACCTTAGGGAAGGCTGAGCGAAGGAAGAGAGATGCTTTTGAACTGTGGTGTTGGAGGAAAGTTCTGAGAGTGACTTGGACTGCCAGAAGATCCAACCAGTCCATCCTCCAGGAAATAAAGCCCGGCTGCTCATTGGAGGGAAGGAGACTAGAGACAAAGATGAAGTCCTTTGGCCACATCATGAGGAGACAGCAAAGCCTAGAGAAGACAATTATGCTGGGGAAATGGAAGGTAAAAGAAAGAGGGGCCCACCAAGGGCAAGATGGATGGATGGCATCCTTGAAGTGACTGGCTTGACCTTGAAGGAGCTGCGGGTGGTGACGGCCGACAGGGAGCTCTGGCGTGGGCTGGTCCATGAGGTCACGAAGAGTCGGAGACGACTGAACGAATGAACAACAACAAACAATGGAACATATGCACCGAATTAATAAAACCAAGATGTCATTACAGATAACCACACAGACACACACATAAATGTATGGTGGTGAAATAACGCTGTGAACTGGAACTAAGTTATACAAACCCACAAAAAAACAACAACAACTGGCACTCATAAAAATGAGCAGAACAAACCTGTATTACATGGTCTTCACTCGTAATCTCAATGGCTTCTTGACTTTTCTCCAGTGCTGTAAATATTGAATTACAAGCCCTGAAAGCGAAAGGAAAACAAGAAGTAGACTCGTGAGACTTGGGCTACTGTTATGAATTGTAATGTAAATACCTGATATGCAGGATACCCGATATGCCCAAATTTGAATACTGGTGGGGTTGGGCGCAGGATTGATTTTGTCATTTGGGAGTTGTAGTTGCTGGGATTTATAGTTCACCTACTATCAAATTCCGCTAATGCACCAGATCCTGCCTGATCCTGGAAGGTAAACCGAGTCAATTCCCCCACCCTCCTTTTAAAAATCTGGAAAAAAAACACCTTTTAGCAGATCCTGGTTCAAAATGTAAATGATTCATTCTGGATATTGACAAGCTGGAATGTGTCCAGAGGAAAGCGACTAAAAGGATCAGGGGTCTGGGGAACAAGCCCTATGAGGAGCGGCTTAAAGAGCGGGGCATGTTTAGCCTGAAGAAGAGAAGACTGAGAGGAGACATGATGAGGGCCATGTATAATAATAATAATAATAATAATAATAATAATAATAATAATAATAATAAAAATAAACCTTTATTTATACCGTGCTACCATCTCCCGAAGGACTCGGTGCGGCTTACAAGAGGCCAATCCCAAATATATCAGGAAACAACAATAACAATAATACAACAATAAATTAACTCAAAAACAAAACAATAAAAACAAAGTAATAAATATTAACATAACACCACGACGCATTAAAACCTATGGCAGGACCAAATGTAATAATTAATTTTTTTTAAATATGCTGGGCATGACCAGGTGAAAAGGATAGGTATTTGGAGGGGAATGGGGCGTGCAGACATCCTGGATCTCTAGTAAAGTGCATTTGGGGACATATTGCTTGGAGTTTCCTTATTCTGGGAAGGCACACTGGGGCAACCAGGTTTTCAAGCTCCTCCTAAAAACTGCCAGCGTTGGGGCACGCCTGATATCCTTAGGGAGAGAGTTCCAGAGTCGAGGGGCCACCACCGAGAAGGCCCTGTCCCTCGTCCCCAAAAATTGAGACATGATAACCATGTATAAATATGTGAACAGATGAAATGAGGAAGAGGGAGGCAGGCTCAAGAACAATGGATTCAAACTACAGGAAAGGAGAGTACACCTGCACATTATGAAGAACTTCCTGACTGTAGGAGCTGTTCAGTGGTGGAACTCTCTGACGGAGTGTGGTGGAGGCTCCTTCTTTGGAGGTTCTTAAACAGAGGCTAGATGGCCATCTGTCAGGGGTGCTTTGAATGCAATATTCCTGCTTCTTGGCGGGGAGTTGGACTGGATGGCCCATGAGGTCTCTTCCAACTCTATGATTCTATGATTCTAAATGTAAAGCAAAGCGAGACAGGCTTACCTTAATTTAAATTGTGTCTGCACTTCTCCAAATTCGAGCTGAATGAGTTCATTGTAACAGGCCATGATATTCGAATTTTCTACGTATCTCTATATAAAAAAGTACACACACAAAATAAAAAAGTTAGAATGATTCTTTTGCATTTATCTGTTGCAGTCCAGGCCTGGAAACACCTATGATCACTGCACCACACAAGAGTCCAGGTATATAAGCAAACAGTTTATTGTAAAAGCATATGATAATAATCCAATAATAATAAAAACAATAATCCAAATGCCTCATAAAGTTCCTGACAAAGTTCCTGACAAAGTCCAGGGACAGCCAGAAATCATAGATACAGCGTAAATCCACAATCAAGAAGTTATAACTAGTAAAACTTGAACAGGAGTACATGAACAGGGACATAGAAAACTTCCAGGATATATTAAATCCAAAATCAAAGCTTGACTTGATCCAAGAACAAGAGAACTCAGGCTTAGCTTCTCACTCTAATGCAGCATTGCCTGAACTGACCTTAAAGTAAACAAACTGTTGTTTAATAGACACCCATGAAATCATGTCTTTCCCCGTGAATTTCCTTCTCTGAACAACACAATCTATTTTCAGCTCTGATTTGTAAATGAAGACTTTTGTTGATCTCTGTAGCTACAGGTGGGTTCCCATGGGAACTCTCCTTATCACTCAGCTCTTCACTTAATTCCTTATCTTCTGTTGCTACTTCTGACTCCTCTGAATGCCCTTGAAGCCTTGCACTTTCTGAACCAGTTTTCTCAAAGAGAGAACCATCATTTCCCAAACTTGAATTTCCCGGACATGAGAGCCCATCACTTTGTGCCACAGGAAAGCTCACAATCCTCATCACATTCTGGTAGCTGATCTATAACATTATCTCCCAATAACTGTAGGATTTTTTAAAAATAAGAATTATTTCTGATGTGCTAATACAGTGTTCTCAACCTTCCTAATGCCACGACCCCTTAATACACTTCCTAATGTTATGGTGACCCCCACCATAAAATTAGTTGTGTTGCTACTTCATAACTGTCATTTTGCTGCTGTTGTGAAACGTCATGTAAATATCTGGTATGCAGGATGTATTTTCATTCACTGGACCAAACTGGGCACAAATACCTGATACGCCCAAATTTGAATACTGGTGGGATTGGGGGGGGGGGGGGGGTTGATTTTTGAACCAAACTTGGCACACAGAACTCCCATGACCAACGGAAAATACTGGAAGGGTTTGGTGGGCATTGAGCTTGAGTTTTGGAGTTGTAGTTCACCTACATCCAGAGAGCACTTTGGACTCAAACAATGATGGATCTGGACCAAACTTGACACAAATATTCCATATGCTCAAATGTGAGCATTGGTGGAGTTTGGGCAAAACAGACCTTGACATTTGGGAGTTGTAGTTATTGGGATTTATAGTTCACCTACAATCAAAGAGCACTCTGAACTCTACCAGCGATGGAATTGAACCAAACTTGGCAGACAGATTGGAAGGGTTTGGTGGGCATTGACCTTAAGTTTTGGAATTGTAGTTCATCTACATCCAGAGAGCACTGTGGACTCAAACAATGATGGATCTGGACTAAACTTGGCACGAATACCCAAAAAGACCTTGACATTTGGGAGTTGTAGTTGCTGGGATTTATAGTTCACCTACAATCAAAGAGCATTCTGAACTCCACCAATGATGGAATTGAACCAAACTTGGCACACAGAACTCCCATGACCAACAGAAAATACTGGAAGGGTTTGGTGGGCATTGACCTTGATTTTTGGAGTTGTAGTTCACCTACATCCAGAGAGCACTGTGGACTCAAACAATGATGGATCTGGACCAAACTTGGCACAATACTCAATATGCCCAAATGTGAACACTGTGGAGTTTGGGGAAATAGACCTTGACATTTGGGAGTTGTAGTTGCTGGGATTTATAGTTCACAATCAAAGAGCATTCTGAACCCTACCAACGATTGAATTGGGACAAACATCCCACACAGAACCTCCATGACCAACAGAAAATACTATGTTTTCTGATGGTCTTTGGCAACCCCTCTGGCACCCCCTCGCGACCTCTCCAGGGGTCCCGACCCCCAGATTGAGAAACACTGTGCTAATAGATTCCCCACCAAATGCCATTTAAACCATGAATAATTTGTCATAAAGTTAGACAGATGAAGCTTACTATACCATGATATGGCATGTCAGAGCAGTGCTATCAGTCTGCTATCTCTGGGACTGGTAAAAAGACCAAAACAAAGAAATCTACTTACTCTTGTGAAGCCAGCAGAAAGGAAGGGTAATATTGAGGATTCTTCACGATCTGCATGTCTTAAGAACAGAAAAGGAAGAATAACAAGATGGCACAGATCAATGTCAACGTCATCATCCCCTTCACAATTTAAAGTCTTTTGCACAAACCCACGGTGACTTACACCACCAACATCACCTCCTTAAAACAAGACAAAAATCCAATAACAACACAATAGTAGGACATATTAGATGAAAACGGTCTACTTCAATGTGTTGTCGAAGGGTTTCATGGCCAGAATCACTGGGTTGCTGTGAGTTTTCCAGGCAGGAAGCAGCCAGTCTTTGAAGCTGCGAGGCCATTCAATACTTATCAATACTTATCAAGGTGGCCAACTGCAACATTCACACTTGCCTCAAACAGACAAGAGTTCTTTCTCCCACMCTGGACATTCCACAGATATATAAACCTCAATTTCCAACAGACCTCACAACCTCTGAGGATGCCTGCCATAGATGTGGGCGAAACGTCAGGAGAGAATGCTTCTGGAACATGACCATACATTATTTTTAGGGTAGAAGGTGCTTTTCCCAACACAGAACCTAAAGCAGTGTTTCTCAACCTTTTAAATGCCATGACCCCATTTTGAGGTGACCCCCAACCATAAAATTATTTCCGTTGCTACTTCATAACTGTAATTTTGGCTACTGTTTTGAATTCTAGAATCATAGAGTTGGAAGAGACTTCATAGGCAATCCAGTCCAACCCCCTGCCAAGAAGCAGGAAAATTGCATTCAAAGCACCCCTGACAGATGGCCCTCCAGCCTCTGTTTAAAATGTAATATAAATATCTGATATTCAGAATGTATTTTCATACACCGGACAAATTTGGCACAAATACCCGATATGTCCAAATTTGAATAATTGTGGGGTTGGGGGCTGGATTGATTTTATCATTTGGGAGGTATAGTTGCTGGGATTTATAGTTAACCTGCAATCAAAGAGCATTCTGAACTCCACCAATTATGGCATTGAACCAAACTTGGCATACAGGACTCCATGACCAACAGAAAACACTAGAAGGGTTTGGTGGGCATTGACCTTGAGTTTGGGAGTTGTAGTTCACCTACATCCAGAGAGCACTGTGGACTCAAACAATGATGGATCTGGACCAAACTTGGTACAAATACTCAATATGCCCAAATGTGAACACTGGTGGAGTTTGGGGAAAATAGACCTTGACATTTGGGAGTTGTAGTTGCTGGGATTTATAGTTCACTTACAATCAAAGAGCATTCTGAACCTCACCAATGATAGAATTGGGCCAAACTTTCCACACAGAACCCCCATAAGCAGCAGAAAATACTTTTTTATGGTCTTTGGAGACCCCTCTGACACCCTCTAGGACAGCATTTCCTGACCCCGCAGGTTGAGAAATGCTGTCCTAAAGGAAGCACCAACTCCCTTTTCTCTCTCCAATAAACTAAGTTGTTTCAGATCATCAATAAACTAATTATGAAACACTGTGTAAAGGAGCCACTGCCTTCGAACTCAGTAACTACACTGCCAACCAACATTTTTTTTTAATCATAGGGGACAAGCCATTATTTCAGGATTACAGGGTTGTTGCAATCATGGACTTTGCATTCATTTATTATTTTACTTGAGAACATGATATTTCTCATTTACCTTCGCACGACACCGATAATAACAGTGCTTTCGGACGGCTTTGTTGTTCTAATGGACCTATAAAGAAAAAAGAAATGAAAATAAGTTAATAAGTGTGGCAATGCCCTTGAAAAATCAAGAAAAAAATAGGATTGGACTCTTCTAACAATCGATTAAATCAAGCAAACAGACACAAGGGATTCGACATGTTGGCAGAATAACATGCCACTCCTCAACAATGGGAGGTGAGTTTCCTAAAAACAAGATTCAACCAATTTTCTTGACATTATGGATATTGAGAATTGTAGTATAAAATACGATATTTTCCAAATTCCTGGAAACTCTGGCCAGTTTGTGCAATACTGGGAGCTGAAGTCCATAATGCTGGGAAGGACACAAATTTTGAACTCCATACCATACTGTGTATACAGAATGTATGATATTCTTGAACTTGAAGTCCTTCGTTTCAATAGGATTCGCTATGGTTTCAGGTATATATTCCTTGTGGATATGGAGATCATACTGTTCCTTCCTTTGCAATGGCCCAAGTATGTTATGAAACCTAAGGATATATCTATATATCAGTGGTTCCCAACTTTTTCTTTACCAGGGACCACTTGACCAGGGACCACTCGCTCATTAGTACCAAAAGGGTTACGAATCTGTTTTTGGTCAACTTTAGATTCGGTTTGGTTATTTGGGGTGCTGATTCAGAAAATTGTCCTCCCAACTATATGCCTGCGAAACGTGGACTGTCTACAGACGTCACATGCAACTCCTGGAACGATTCCATCAGCGCTGCCTCCAGAAAATCCTGCAAATCTCTTGGGAAGACAAGCGGACAAACGTCAGCATGCTGGAAGAAGCAAAGACCACCAGCATTGAAGCGATGGTCCTCCGCATCAACTCCACTGGACCGGACAAGTTGTCCGGATGCCCGACCACCATCTCCCAAAGCAGTTGCTCTACTCCGAACTCAAGAATGGAAAATAAAATGTTGGTGGCAGGAAAAGAGATTTAAAGATGGGCTCAAAGCCAACCTTAAAAACTGTGGCATAGACACTGAGAACTGGGAAGCCCTGGCCCTTGAGCGCTCCAGCTGGAGGTCAGCTTGACCAGCAGTGCTGTAGAATTTGAAGAGGCACGAATGGAGGGCGAAAGAGAGAAACGTGCCAAGAGGAAGGTGCGTCAAGCCAACCCCGACCGGGAACACCTCCACCTGGAAACCAATGCCCTCACTGCAGGAGAACATGCAGATCAAGAATAGGGCTCCACAGTCACCTGCGGACCCACCGCCAGTACACCAATCTTGGAAGACAATCCTACTCGGACAATGAGGGATCGCCTAAGTAAATACTGGTTATTGGGGTGCTGATTCAGAAAATTGCATTGGATAGACCACATCAGCTCTAGTTTCTGATACAGAACATATGCCATCCTATAGTCACCATTTGCTCATCCACAAAATAATAACTTCAAAGCTTGACACTTCAAGCCCCCCGTGGCGCAGTGGGTTAAACCCCTGTGCCGGCAGGACTGAAGACCGACAGGTCGCAGGTTCGAATCCGGGGAGAGGCGGATGAGCTCCTCTATCAGCTCCAGCTCCTCATGCGGGGACACAAGAGAAGCCTCTCAGAAGGATGATAAAAACATCAAGTCATCTGGGCGTCCCCTGGGCAACGCCCTTGCAGACGGTCAATTCTCTCACTCCAGAAGCAACTTGCAGTCTCTCAAATCGCTCCTGACATGACAAAAAAACAACAACTATATGAGGGTTTCACGAGACAAGCCTCTCAACGGTGTAGTAATATTGAGGTCACGGACTATATTTTAGTCTTGCGGACCTCTGGTGGTCCACGGACCACAGGTTGGGAACCACTGTTATCTCTCTCTCTCTCTCTCTCTCTCTCAATAATTCTATAACTTATACCAGGTGTAGATAACCCCATGTTCTCCAGATGTTTTGGAGTACAATTCCCATATTCTGAGTTTAGTTCCCCTCTAGATGGAGCTAATGAATATTGTAGTCGAGTACAACTGGAAGGTGGATAAGATGCTCTCCTGGGTGAAGACTCACCTGCAATGAAGACTCACCTGCATAATGCTTCTGCATCAAAGTATTTTGAATGTCGGTGATCAATAATGATGATTTCATGGTGTTTCTCCAGAAAGCACTCAAGAGCAGATTCAGGTGTCTTTGCAATATTACACCGAAATCCTGCTTTCTCGCATGCCCAGCAGAATCCATTGCTCTGGTTGTCTTCTTTGGCAAAGACTAAAAGTACCTAGTTCAAGGAAAAATAAAATAGAAAGCATTATAAATTCAATCAAGAGATGTATACAAAGACTTATAGGTTTTACTCACAACTGTAAGCATTTGCGGATGTTTACAATTAGCTTTGTACAGGCCTAAATGCCCTCAAGGAGCCAGATCTTGTCTGATCTCAGAAGTTAAGCAGGATCAACCCTGGATGGGAGACCACCAATAAATACCAGGTGCTTTGGACTATATTTCAGAGGAAGGAATTGCAAAACCTCCTCTGAGTACTCCTTGCCTAAGAAAACCCTAAGAAATTCATTGGGCTGCCATAAGTCAATCTATATAAATAAAAATGTAATGTTCATTTGTGGGATTAACAGAACTCAAAAACCACTGGGGGAATTGACACCAAATTTGGACACAAGACACCTATCAGTCCAATGTACATCCTTCACTCACAAAACACTGAAAAACACAGCAGAAGGGACTTAAAAAGCCCCAAAAAGCTAAATGATGAAAAGCTAAATGACAATACAGAAAAAAGGGAAGAAAGAGGGAGGGAAGGGGAGAAAAGAAAGAAAGAAAGAAAGAAAGAAAGAAAGAAAGAAAGAAAGAAAGAAAGAAAGAAAGAAAGAAAGGAAAGAAAGAGGATAGAAAGAAAGAGGGAAAGAAAAAAGGAAAGGGAGAAGGAAGCATGAAAGCAAAGAGAGAAGGAAGGAAGGAAGGAAGGTAGAGAAGGAAGAAAGGAGAGAAAGAGGGAGGGAAAGAAAAAGGGGGAAGGAAAGATATAGAAGGAAGGAAGGAGATGAGGAAAGAAAAAAGGGAAAGAGGTAGCAAAGGAAAGGGGGAATATGTAGAGAAAGAGGGAGGGAAGGAAAGAAGGAAAGAGAAGGAAGAAAAGAGAAACAGCAGAAGAGAAAGAAAAAGGGAAAAGGAAGGAAAGAAGAGAAGGAAAGACGGGAAGGAAGGAAAGAGGGAGTGAAGGAAGGAGGGAAAGAAGGAGAGAAAGAGGGAAGGTTGGCCACAGCAACGTGTGGCGGGTACAGCTAGTATATAATAACTCTGGCTCTGGGGAGGTGCTTAGATTAAAGCATTTACATACATAGGCAAACATTCAGTGCCTTTACAATTATATACAATGAGACAGACAAACACAAACAAAGGCAGAGGCTTCTCCTTTCATTTCCAGCTTCTGGAGGCAGTGCTTATCTCTGGCTTTGTGGAGGTGCTTTTTCCATTTTCTAGACTAGAAGACTGCATTATCACCTCCTGGTTGCCTCCTGGTTGTGTGGCCGGCAATACTACTTTGACTGTCACTTTGCCTTTTCCTGCCTGAAGCTGTACCTATTTATCTACTCACATTTGCATGTTTTCGAACTGGAGTTGACAGGAGCTGGAGCTAAGCAGGATCAACCCTGGATGGGAGACCACTAATAAATACCAGGTGCTTTGGACAATATTTTAAAGGAAGGAACCGCAAAACCTCACCTGAGTACTCCTCGCCTAAGAAAACCCTAAGAAATTCATTGGGTTGCCATAAGTCAATAATAATATTATAATACACTTTATTTATATTCCTCCCTTCTCTCCTAGGGGACTCAAAGCTGATTACAGCTTTTACATACATAGGCAAACATGCAATTTATTTTATTTGTCATGTCAGAGCAACCAGTCCATTATATTACATTTCTAACAGAACAAAGCAAACAAACAGACAAATACAAAACTTGTGAGTTTGGTAGTTGGTTAAATGTCCTTTGACCAGTATCTGGCCACTTGGAGTGCTTCTGGTGTTGCTGCAAGAAGGTCCTCCATTGTGCATGTGGCAGGGCTCAGGTTGCATTGCAGCAGGTGGTCAGTGGTTTGCTTCTCTCCGCACTCGCATGTCGAGGATTCCACTTTGTAGCCCCATTTCTTAAGGTTGGCTCTGCATCTCGTGGTGCCAGAGCACAGTCTGTTCAGCGCCTTCCAAGTCGTCCAGTCCTCTGTGCCCGGGGGGGAGTCTCTCATTTGGTATCAGCCATTGGTTGAGGTTCTGGGTTTGAGCCTGCCACTTTTGGACTCTCGCTTGCTGAGGTGTTCCAGCAAGTGTCTCTGTAGATCTTAGAAAACTATTTCTTGACTTAAGTCGTTGACATGCTGGCTGATACCCAAACAGGGATGAGCTGGAGATGTCTCTGCCTTGGTCCTTTCACTATTGGCTGCTACTTCCCGGCAGATGTCAGGTGGTGCAATACCGGCTAAGCAGTGTAATTTCTCCAGTGGTGTAGGGCGCAGACACCCCGTGATAATGCGGCATGTCTCATTAAGAGCCACATCCACTGTTTTAGCGTGGTGAGATGTGTTCCACACTGGGCATGCATACTCAGCAGCAGAGTAGCATAGCGCAAGGGCAGATGTCTTCACTGTATCTGGTTGTGGTCCCCAGGTTGTGCCAGTCAGCTTTCGTATGATATTGTTTGTAGCACCCACTTTTTGTTTGATTCAGCAGTGCTTCTTGTAGGTAAGAGCATGGTCCAGAGTGACTCCCAGGTATTTGGGTGAGCTGCAATGCTCCAGTGGGATTCCTTCCCAGGTGATCTTCAGAGCTTTTACAATAATATACAATGGGACAGACAAACACAAACAAAGGCAACATAATCTCCTTTCATTTCCGGCTTCTGGAGGTGGTGTTCATCTCTGGCTCTGGGGAAGGCCCTTTTGTCCATTTTCAAGCCAAGGAGCTTGCATTGTTACCTCCTGCTTGTGTGGCCAGCAATATTGGTATGACTGTCTCTTTGCTTTTTCCCAAGCTTTGCCTATTTATATATGATTTATTTATTTATTTATTTTCGGCATTTCTATCCTGTCCTTCTCATCTCAGGACGGCTTACATTCGGCAACAATTCGATGGCATAAATACAAACAAACAACAATATAGCAATATTTTAAAACAGTAGATAAATTATTAGGTTAAAAGCAGTTAAAACATTTGTCAACACCATGAAGCCAGTCCAGTTCAATTCCATAATTTGTCAAAACCATAAGCCATTCCAGTTCAGTTCCATAACTGCTGCTACGACTGTTGTCCAAAGACCTGGTCCCAGAACCATGATTTTAGTTTTTTTCCTGAAGGTCAGGAGGGAAGAAGCCAACCTGATCTCACTGGGGAGCGAGTTCCATAGGTAGGGGGGCCACAGCCGAGCAGGCCCCGTCTCTTATCCCCGCCAAACGAATTTGCAAAGCTAGTGGAGCTGAGAGAAGGGCCTCCATGGACGATCTTAAACTGCGGGGTGGGAGATAGAGGGAGATACATTCTGACAAGTAAGCTGGACCAGAGCCGTGTAGGCCTTTATAGGTCAAGACCAGTATTTCGAATTGTGCTTGGAAGTAGACAGGCAGCCAGTGAAGCTGACATAACCCTGTATGTTGGTTTTAAATGCGTCACTGTGTCATTGTTTTTTATTGTTCTAATGCTTTGCTTAATGTTTTATTTGCTTATGACTTTTATTGTGTATGTGTATGTTATTGTTTGTTGGTGGCCTTGGCCTTTGTAAGCCGCATCGAGTCCTTCGGGAGATTTTGCGGGGTATAAATAAAGTTAATAATAATTAATAATAATAATATGTTGCTCCAGTTAGCAATCTGGCTGCCACCCATTGGACTAGTTGGAGTTTCCAAACAGTCTTCAAAGGCAGCCCCACATAGAGTGCGTTGCAGTAATCTACTCCCAGTTGACAGGAGCTGGAACTTAGAGATGGGCGATCACCCCGTTTCAAGGATTTGAACTGCCAACCTTCAGATCAGCAGTTCAGCCAACTTTCAGGTTAGCAACTCAGCAGCACAAGGGTTAAACCCATTGAGCCACCACGGCTCCTTGGCAGTTAAAGTAATAAAAACACATATATATCCACATTCAAATGCACACTTGTGCTGTCGCATGCTGGGCCTGTGCATCAGACTATAGACAGGACATAAATTCTGTGTGCCCAATGGGACGCCAGGGCTGCCTCAGATTAAAAGCCTTTGGATTTCCTTAAAACAGAGTCTTTAGATTGCTCAAAGGTTCAACAAAGTTCTTTATTAATGAAAACAAACAGGTACTTTAAGGCTTTCTTAACAGTCTATTGGCTCTCTCTCAATCTTGTCCACAGGGAACAGGCACTATCTTCATAACTGTAACTAATGGGGAAATCCTTAACTTCTAATCTGGGCAGTCTGTCTTTGCCTCTGTTGGCGTGGAGCCCCTGCACCCGGTACCAACTGCTTCTGGCTTCCGCGAGTGACCCTTACCAAGCAGAGCTTTGTAGACTTCCAGGGGAAAAAGAATTCAGGTTTCCGTGATGGCTGACTGAAGTCCTTCAGCAAAGGAGCTGTAGGGCTGTATAACCCCGGCCAAGCTGTGGGCTGTATATCTCCCCGGCCAAGCCGTAGAAGACGAAGCTTTCTACAGGAGCTCTTGGTATTATGTCCTGCATGAAAGGCTTCTCTGTGTGGACTGAACCCAAACTGGCTCCTATTCTCTCCAAAAAACCCAAAAAGGGGGCGGGACCAGGGAACCTATAATTGACAGGTGGCTTGCCATATGATTGCAGCCAAAAGAAGCCACCTATCTGCAGAGTCCCTGAAATTTAGGACTACAACAAACACACACAGATTATGAGATATAGCAATCATCTTCAACCTCTTTTCAGTTTTGTTTTAACTTTGTTTTGGACTCTAAATCTGTCCCAGACAACGGTGACTTGAAGGCCTATTGCAACAACAAGCTCTCTCCTGCATTGATAATACTGTGTTCTTTTTTTGTTATTACTATCTACTTAGCTTTGCTGACTCTCTACACAGTGATATAAATTTGTTACTGTTATTTTAAGGAAGAATTAACTACACTGTTCTTTACCCAGTGTACCTTGGACAACGTTCAATTCCCATGTAGTTATTTTCTCAAGTTTAACTGTTTACACAGCAACAGTCAAGGGCTTGTTCATTCAGTAGAATAATAGCGCAAGAAGGAAACAACAAGAAATTTAAACAAGTTTTTTCCCA